TGTGTGTGTGTCAGATTCTGTGCGGTTTGTGCGGGTGCTCTCTGGTCATTTGTACGATACTATTATAGTCTGACATATCAGAATCAATAAAGTGAATATATATATATACAATGAACTTATTATTTCCCTTTTCTTTATCTACACATTTCTTTACTCATGATCTCCTTTCATTGATCAATTACCAAAATTCGTTACAGGCTCTCTTTTATTATCAATGGATTCAATCGTCCAGTTATTCTTATTTTTATTTATCCTTCCATTCCAAACTTGCTCTTTTTTATTTGTGATTCTGCCTTTAAACAAGCAGGCACGGGTTTGTTTTGCCAACAAGAACCGGTTCCAACCACACGCCAGCCCTCTCATATTTACACTGTGACTGTAATTGTAATTGTAAATGTTTTACCTCCCCCCCCCCTAAAGTTAAAAAAAAAAAAAATGTAAAATAATGTTTAAAAAATCCCCCGTCCTCCCAGCAGCGCTTTCCACTTCACCACGCACAGCAAAGTAGATCTGTAAAAGAGGCGGGCTGCTTTCTATATCTTTGCTGTGCTGGTAAGATCAATGCGAGCAAAGTAGGACTCAGTATCCCAGTAGACAGGTGGATCTACTCAATCAAATAACCAAAAGATGTACTGAATGATGACCAAAACAAAACAAGAAAATTATTTTTTTAACAGTAAAGAGAAGGAACATGGCAAGATGAACCCAGAAAGCAAATGGGTACAACCACAGCACGGAAAACAGCCGAGTTTTATAAAAAGGATGCCGTTTTTTTAGGGCACAGTGGACGGACAGCGCTCAGAAATAAATAAATAAAGAAAGAAAGAAAGAAAAGAAAGAAAGAAAGAAAGAAAGAAAGAAAGAAAGAAAGAAAGAAAGAAAGAAAGAAAGAAAGAAAGAAGGAAAGAAAAAAGAAAGAAACTAAGGAAGAAAAAAAGAAAGAAGGAAAGGAAGGAAGGAATAAAGAAAGAAAGAAAGAAAGAAAGTAAGTAAGTAAGAAAGAATGAAAGAAAGAAAGAAGGGAAGAAAGAAAGAAGGGGAAAAAAGGAAAAAAAGAAAGAAAGAAAGAAGAAAGAAACTTCCTTTCCCAATTGGGAATTGAACTCAAGTCTTTTGCATGATACAATGAAGAGCCTACACCCACACTAACCAGACCGGTACGTGTAGTGTGTACTCTCCGGATAGGGGATGATAGAAGTGACCAAACAGACGCAAACTTGTACCAGCAATGTCCCCGGGATTATCTCTCAGTTTACGATGACCACACGACCGTTTGGTCCACTCTCCAGGCAGAGAAGGTGACGGGTCTTAAGAAACTTACAGACTAATACGTACATACATATATACACTTACGTGCACACACTACACACGCACGTATACAGCTTTTACAGCAAGGGCAATCATGGCAATTTTTCTTGCTTTGTGTCTTTCTTTCTTTCTCAAAGATCCTTTCATTTCTTTCTTTCTTTTGCTCTCTCCATCTTTATGTCTCCATTACTCCGTCTCTTTCTTCCC